TGGGTGCCTAGGCGGTATCAGGATACAGTAGTGAGTAAATGTACGTCTGTTGGATAGTAAATACCACTATCTAGGTTGTGTAGGGGTAGTGGTGGTATGATCCAGAGTGGGTGTTATGCGTCAGGTATACAGGTATAGAACTATGGGGAACAATTTGGATAAATGCCACTCGTGGATCAATAGGGTGGGTTTGTAGGTGTAGTTTTGATTAGAGATGTGTGAGAGCAGACTGTGTGAAAGCTCTTCCTCCTTGTGGAGATATAGTACATCCATGTGCTGTGTAGGCTACTCTGGAAGGGTAGTGACCCTAACCTAAAGGTCGTCGGGTGGGAGGGGTTTGCGCACTGTGTTGCAGTATGCCTTCCTTTGGTGCGCTAGTGGACCAAAGTCCGTATCAATGTAGCAACAATAGAACCAATCAGTCAATATGGTAGTTGGCAGTAGTAAAGTAGAAAAGTAAAGAGAAGGTACAAATGAACTTTTGAACGGATAACTTTGTATAGCCTTTGATCAAGCTGGGATAAGTGACTTCTCCTCCCAAACCCGTCAAGTGGCCAGAGGGTCTTGGTGTGAATGGCTCAATTGTCGCCGGATCCCAGATCGGAGAAGTGTTTTGGCCGGGTGTGGTTGTCATCATATTCGAGAGACCTAGAGTTGATAGTAGTGCAGGGGCTTCAGTTCCTGAGGTGATTTTGTGTGTGGCACCTTTATAAGTGACGATGAGGGATCGTGGAGTACCACATCGGCATGTTACCCCTGCTGTACGTAGCCAGTCGGTGAGGGGGCTGAGTGTCTTCCTCCACTGTACTGTAACTTTAGTTAGGTTTTAATAAAAAGTCAGTTGGGACTCTTCAAAATTGATAGGAGTCTTGCCCTTTATCGCAGCAATAATGTGACCCTTGTCTTGGGGTAGAGTGCATCGGATGATGACATCTCCAGCAGGGTGCGTAGGAGATTTGGTCAGAGTTGGTATATCCCTACAAAGTTGAGTTTCCTCGTCACCGTGTGGGGTAGGATAGATTGCATGAGCTGTCTCACATAGTGAGGTAGTTCCTCTTTGGCAACAGAGGCCGGTATGTCTCGGATTTTGATGTGGTTACGTTGGTTCCTGTCCTCTTGTGCTGACAGTTGTGTTGAGAGGACTTGTTGGGTGTGCTGTAGTTGGACCTTATACCCTGTATTTTGCTATCTCTCCACCATTTCCTTGCCCTTTTGATGTTTGTTATCCATTCCCATATAGGCCTAGGCTCAGCCAGAGTGTTATGGGCCTCTATAATCTCCTCCGTCTTCTCTTCCAAGTGTGCAGTGTGCTCACCTATAGCATAGCTATCTGCCTTATTTCTCCAGCCAGTTTTTGAAAGTTGGATCTCAGGGTAGTTTTGAGAACCTCCAGGATCTTCTGTACTGACATTTCAGTCACTGGTAATAGACGGTGATGAGAGATGGAAGTAATATTGCTGAGGGTGTGAGCTCAAGGCGGGAGGCCATTTTCTTCCTTCTTGCTCAGAGGGTATGGCAGCTTTTTGAAAAGATGGAGATCTATGTTGCACCTTCTTGGCAGATTTGTTCATCAAGGCACTTGAGAGGTAAGTGGAACCTCAGTCATGCAAATCGCTAGGCTAATCAAGTTGAAAGACTCTGGGCACTGAAAGAGGCAGAGACCACAATTCTGGTGTGATTACTGAAAAAGCCCAACCTTGACCCTAATTCCCCATCCAACTACCGCCCTATCTCACTACTGCCATTTGCCTCCAAGATCCTTGATAGAGTTGTGTTTGCGAGATTGACAGAATTCCTTGAATCCAACTCTCTGCTTGACCTGCTTCAATCTGGATTCTGCACTCATCACTCTGTTGAAACAGCTGTGACCAAAATATTCAATGATCTTAACACTGAATCCCGTGGCCACTACTATCCTAATTGTCCTTGACCTTACTGCTGCTTTTGACACTGTTGATCATCAACAGCTTCTTCTCATCCTCTGTAATCTCAGTCTATGAAATACCGCTCTCTCCTGGCGCTCTTCCTACCTCTCCCAGCGTTTCAGTGTTTGTCTCTCTGGCCCTGCTTCTTCTCCCCAATTCCTCTCTGTTGGTGTTCCCCAAGGGACTGTTCTTGGTCCCCTTTTGTTCTCAATCTACACTGCCTCCCTTTGTAAACTATGCGGATTACATGCAAATTTATTTGCCCTAACCTGATTTCTTACCACCCCTCTTGACTCGTGTCTATGATTGCCTCTCTGCTATTTCCAACTGGATGGTTGCTCATTTCCTTAAGCTTCACTTGTCCAAAACAGAATTTCTGGTCTTCCCCCCCTCATGTTTTGCTACTCCCTTGTTTGTTTCCCTCCAAGTCAATGGCGCTACCTCGCAGGCTCGCTGCCTAGGTGTTCTCTTTTGACCTTTCCTTCCCCCTGATGGCCAATCATTTGCCAAATCCTGCTGCTTCCATCTAAAAAACATAGCGCACATCCGCCCCTATTTAACGCCTGATACGGCTAAGGTGCTTGTCCATGCCGTTGTTCTCTCTCACCTTGACTACTGTAAATCGCTTCTCAGTGGTCTTACGTGTTCCCAACTTGCCCCGCTACAGTCTATAATGAATGCGGCGGTGAGGCTCATCTTCCTCTCTGCCCGCACCTATCACGCCCCCCTCTGTCAGTCCCTACATTGGCTTCCTGTAAGACATAGGACTCAATTTAAGATACTTGCTTACAAATCTCTACACAATGCTGCTCCGACCTACTTATCCTCACTAATACAAAAAAAAAGTGTCCCGTCTAGGCCCCTAAGCTCTGCCAGGACTCTTATTATGGACTCTCCCTCCTAAACTGGGTCACTTGGGAGGTATGAAACATTCCCAAGGCTCATGTCAGAGGTATAGCTTATATAACCAGGTGTGTTGTTCAGTATATCCAGATACAGAGACGTTGGGGAATGTTGTTCAGTATATCCAGATATAGAGACACTAGGGGGTGTTGTTCAGTATATCCAGATATATGAGACACTGGGGGGGGGTGTTCAGTATATCCAGATATAGAGACACTGGGGGTGGGGAGGTTGTTCAGTATATCCAGATACAGAGACACTGGGGGTGGGGTGTTGTTCAGTATATCAGATATAGAGACACGGGGTGGGTGGGGGGTGTTGTTCAGTATATCCAGATATATAGAGACACTGGGAGGGTGGGGGTGTTGTTCAGTATATCAGATACAGAGACACTGGGGGTGTTTTTCAGTATATCCAGATATAGAGACACTGGGGGTGTTGTTCAGTTTATCCAGATATAGAGACACTGGGGAGAGGGTGTTGTTCAGTATATCCAGATATAGAGACACTGGGGGTGTTGTTCAATATATCCAGATATAGAGACACTGGGGTGGGGGGTGTTGTTCAGTATATCCCTGAAACACTGGGGGGTAGGGGAGGTTGTTCAGTATATCCAGATACAGAGACACTGGGGGGTTGTTCAGTATATCCAGATATAGAGACACTGGGGGGTGTTGTTCAGTATATCCAGATACAGAACACTGGGGGGTTCAGTATATCAGATATAGAGACATTGGGGTGTTCAGTATTTCCAGATACAGAGACACTGGGGGTGTTCAGTATATCAGATATAGAAGAGACATTGGGGGGTGTTCAGTGTATCCAGATACAGAGACACTGAGGGGTGTTGTTCAGTATATCCAGATACAGAGACACTGGGGGGTGTCAGTATATCCAGATACAGAGACACTGGGGAAGGGTGTTGTTCAGTATATCCAGATACAGAGACACTGGGGAGGTGTTTTCAGTATTTCCAGATACAGAGACACTGGGGGGGAGTTGTTCAGTATTTCCAGATACAGAGACACTGGGGGAGAGTTGTTCAGTATTTCCAGATACATAGACACTGGGGGTGTTCAGTATTTCCAGATACAGAGACACTGGGGGTGTTCAGTATTTCCAGATACAGACACACTGGGGGGTGGGGGGTGGGAGTTGTTCAGTATATCCAGATACAGAGACACTGGGGGGGTGGGAGTTGTTCAGTATATCCAGACACTGGGGGGGATATGAGGGCACTGTGTACACTATGCCTTTATTATTGAGCACTGTGAGCACTATGCCTCTATTATTGAGGACTGTGAGCACTGTGAGCACTATGCCTTTATTATTGAGCACTGTGAGCACTATGCCTTTATTATTGAGCACTGTGAGCACTATGCCTCTATTATTGAGCACTGTGAGCACTGTGAGCACTATGCCTTTATTATTGAGCACTGTGAGCACTATGCCTTTATTATTGAGCACTGTGTACACTATGCCTTTATTATTGAGCACTGTGAGCACTGTGCCTTTATTATTGAGCACTGTGTACACTATGCCTTTATTATTGAGCACTGTGAGCACTGTGCCTTTATTATTGAGCACTGTGTACACCATGCCTTTATTATTGAGCACTGTGTACACTATGCCTTTATTATTGAGCACTGTGTACACCATGCCTTTATTATTGAGCACTGTGAGCACTATGCCTTTATTATTGAGCACTGTGCCTCTATTATTGAGCACTGTGAGCACTGTGCCTTTATTATTGAGCACTGTGTACACTATGCCTTTATTATTGAGCACTGTGAGCACTGTGCCTTTATTATTGAGCACTGTGTACACTATGCCTTTATTATTGAGCACTGTGAGCACTGTGCCTTTATTATTGAGCACTGTGAGCACTGTGCCTTTATTATTGAGCACTGTGTACACTATGCCTTTATTATTGAGCACTGTGAGCACTATGCCTTTATTATTGAGCACTGTGCCTTTATTATTGAGCACTGACACAGGCGCCATGACAGACGTGTAAAACGTGCTCTGAGCAGAATGACGTCACGCGCTCCTCTGACTCACGGACCTGTCAGTTTCCCCCTCAGACACGCCCACCTAACGCACTGCTTTTGGGGGCGTAAGTTCTGTCAGAATTGACATCCCGTTCCACCAATTGCGTTCCTGGCTGGTTCTCCGGCCTGTCCGCTGGACCAATCACAGGCGGGCAGAGGGAGGATCGGTGCTGTTAAGGTGACCTAGGCAGCAGTTCATCTCTTCCATTAGCGAGCCTGCAGAGCTGCCGCAAACATGTCTCTCTCCAACAAGCTGACCCTGGACAAGCTGGACGTGAAGGGGAAGAGGGTGGTGATGAGGTGAGAGGAAGGCAGACTGGACACTACAGTTATCCCAGTACCGCAGTCACTAGTCAGGCTATGGCTGGCTGAATGGGGCATCATGGGAAATGTAGTCTGGCTGAATGGGGCATCATGGGAAATGTAGTCTGGCTATGGCTGGCTGAATGGGGCATCATGGGAACTGTAGTCAGCAGGACTCCCAAAGGTCTACCAGTATTGCAGTGTATTCCCAGGAGAGGTTTATACATAGAAATGTCAGTGTTTGGGAGTAAAGTATATTGACCCTTCTAATTTTATGTAGAAACAGTTGCTGCATTCATTGTTATAAAACTCCCTCCCATTCCCCCAGATAATATTACTGGTGGTGGCTGGGATTGATGGGATTTGTAGTCCATCTTGAGCTGCATAGTGCAATGCAGAGGATGCCGTATCTGTTCCTAGTTTTTACTGTAGATTTATAAAGAACATACAGCACATTACTCTATGTAGCCCATTGGAAGGAAGGTGATGTAGATAGATACATAGACATACTATTTCTATGGATAGTTACCCTAGTGATGCTGCCCTACATATGGGTGTGGTTATCCCACTACAGTTCATGTGATGATGCTTTGCAAGATCCCTAACGTTCTAATCTACCTCATTGTTGGCATGGAAACCCTATAGAATGCAGCCACTAACTACTGGTTTTTGGGCAATGGTTTAGTCTCCCTTATTTCCAGGACATCAATCATTTAGTCGGTGACCTTGTAACTGTTTGCAGATGAGGTGTGTTTTTTTTTCTCAAAAAAAAATAAAATATTTCATAATCTAATTTGTGTGTGTGAAAATTTCCTTAGGTTCACTGTTTGATCTTCCAGTCCAGGGTTGCAAAGTAGGGATAGCCCCGAGCTCACAGTTTGTTGGATACCCCTGTGAAATTCCAATAACCCTGTTGGCTCTGGCTCAACATAAGTCATACACTTGTCCAGTAGCATTTAATTAAACATGATCTTGGCCAATAACATTTATACTTGTAATAACTGCAGGATTTTTTTCTAAATGTCAGCCTTGTTTGTATTTTATTTAACTTCTTTTAATCCCCCCCTGCATTAAGTTACTGGTTTGCAGGATGAAGCAATTATGTAGTGCCTTCTATGCTGAGGTTTCAAACAGGCCTCAAACCGTTTTCCGCTGTATTTCCCTACATGCAGTGTTAAAGCAGAGGATATTGCAGCATCTCTGTGGCTTTTTCTCCCTGTCATTGCTGTGAAGGACAGTAAGAGGTCATGTAAGATGGAGCAGCATCACGAGAATCAATGATGGTTATTAATGCTAAGCATAGACTGCTGTGAGCTATATTATGTAGTTCAGGCTCAAAATGCACATGGCAATGAGTCACTTCCATGTGGTAAGATGGCTGCCATTTAAACCTTCCCATTACCTGGCTGTTACAGTAATTTTAAAACCTGATCAGTGTTCTGAGACAATGGGGTAAATAGTTATAGGAACCTTTTAGTCAGAATGTATTTTAATGTTAAGATTTTCCACTTTTCTACACATGGCTGAAGAGATTTATGGTTCATCTTCTAACCTTTCTTAAACCCCCCTTACCATTTGACGTGAGTATTGATGTGTTGGAGGAGAAAATCATAAATAACTTATCAATCGATATAGTGTAGATCCTTTCTCCATTAGATAACAGATGCATGTGAAGTGTGAGAAGCTATAATTACTTGGAACTCCAAGTGCATAAATAGCATCTAGTGATTGACAGATGTATTCTGCTCTATCCTTCTGCCCACTGGCCTATAAATTATTAAGTGCCCTGGCTTTTGCATGGCTTACTAGCGTGTAACCAAGTTTGTGTTTGACTCTTCTCCCCCTCCCTCACATCATAGAAAGCCTGTGTAATTTAAATATGGAATGACCAGGTCGATGTGATACCTGCACCTGGCTGGTATCATGCTACTAAACAAGCCCATTATATGCAGATAGTCTTTAGGGCTCTGCCTATGATGTATAACACTTAGTTTTTAGGAGGCTAATGCCAACGTCTGACCTAATCCTTGATGCTAAAGGAAATTTTATGAAACTAAATTGTGAATAGATGAAGTCACTGATTCTCACTGTGACCTCAACAGCTGTTGGGCCACAGTAACTTCTCTTAACTGAATTTAGTAAGCATTTATTTTTTACATTTTAATTTTTTTAAACTCCAAAAACCGTGTAATAAATAGTATTGTATTGTGGAGGCATTTATTTTGTATATGGCTTGCCACACACAACTGAATACCAATGTATATAGTACATCAAACTCTGCACATCTATCTATGGCAATTTAAGTCCTTTTGAATCACCATTTTCAATATAAATATAATATTTAAAATGCATGGTTGGACATAATACCTCCCTTTTGTCAGTGGGAGAAACTCCTGCAGTATGAAAGCCATGGCTCTCCTAATGAGGAGAGAAAGTAACAATTGTGCATACTCTGAATATACACATTATCTTTTGCCCTAATAACATGGGCATGCTGGAGAGCTTTGTTTGCAATACTTATCTCTAGTACATGTGTTTATCAACTTTCCTCTAATCTGGGTGTCTACTGTAAAGAACAGCTGGATTGGTGATGTTTTCTTTGTGCTATGGTGGAGCAGCCAGCCAGATAAACTAATTTCTGCTCATTGACTGCCCTTTGATAGTACTTTAAATCTTATGACCTAAAGCTACTGCTAAAATGTTTTTTGTTTTTTTTTTTCCTAATCATTAATGTGCTTCAGTTTATAGTCTACGTAGACTGTGCTTTCCTATTTATGTGTGATTAGATGGTGTAGAACTAAAAGGCAGAACAATTGTTTTGTGTTAAGACTTGCATGCCATGTACACAACTAGACACAACAATATGCTGCACCAAGAAGCCTCTGTTTAAAAGGTTTTAATAAAAAAGACGTGTCTAAACTTGTGTGAAGCACAAAGGGTTTTTATTTTCTCCTTTAAGGTTAATTGGCAACAGCCCTTATTTTAAACTGAACGGGAGTGACTACCTATACGAACAAATGCTTGATCACTGCTTCCTGCCGACAAACAGCAGTTTATATTTGCATGGTAACAGTGTGGCCGAGGGCCAAGAGAACCCCTTCCAAAGTGAAGTCATAGATATGCCATACAAAATCTCATTGCTGTAGTGATTTCTAATAAATGAAGCCGGCTTTAAATGTATACTCTAGTCCAGGGGTGCCCAAATGGTAGATCCCCCAGATGTTTTAAAACTACAGCTTCCAAAATGCTTTGTCCTTTCTAAAAGCATCATGGGAGTTGTAGTTCTACAACATCTGGAGGTCTACCTTTTTTGGCACACTTGCTCCAGTCTTAACAACATAACCACTATGTTTAGGAAAGGTTAGCTGGGTCTCTATATTGCAGAGATACCACTGTTAAGTTAATAATGTGGAATTACTGGATACTCCTTATATTTTTTTTTTTTTGTCAACCTGACCAACATTAACTGGCTGTGCTGGGAGGCAGGAATGCAAAACATTGGGTAGGTTGTTTTGTGTACATAAAGTTTATATAGCCGTGTGAGGCTGGCCTTTTTAATATGTAGCCATAAATGCTAAAGATTGTATTAGTTGGCGTACATATTATGTCCCAATGCCAGCGCTTATAGGCAATTGACTTTGCCCTATTATACCTGTGCAAATGGTTACATGTGATTTCTGCCATCCATCCGGTGTTGTATTGTTGGTTTTTAAACCAATCAAGGTGAAATTATTGCAGGACATTGTTGCAATACACTGCCCATATTTTCTGTGGGATGGCAATGATTGACATAATTCACAATAGTTGATCATTTTAAGTAATGAGGTTAATAGAAAGGTGTGAGCAGGCGCTTCTACAAATCACTCTTCTTTTCTCTTCATAGAGTGGACTTCAATGTTCCAATGAAAAATAATCAAATTACCAATAACCAGAGGTAAGCTATTGTCTTAAATGACAATTTTAACTTATTGTGAACCTGTTTTTGTTTAGTGTCTCTTCATTGCTAATTATTTTAAAATATAACGAACTTCATGTTTATATCCTTTCAGGATCAAGGCCGCTGTTCCCAGCATCCAGCACTGTCTAGACCATGGTGCCAAATCAGTGGTTCTCATGAGCCATCTTGGTAGACCGGATGGTGTGCCAATGCCTGACAAGTACTCCCTGGCACCTGTAGCGGAGGAGCTCAAAGCTTTAATGAAGAGGTATGTCCCTCAAATCCTCTGTGGCTTGTTAGAATGGGTGTAATCCTCTTGTAAAATGCACTTATGAGGTGCATACAATTTAGAGGCAGGCACTACAAATAGAAAGTGTCATGTCAGATGAGAGAGATTCGCATGTATTATATATATATATATATATTTTTTTTTTTTTTTTTTTTGTGGTTTACATTCTCCTAGTTGATGTCCAGTGTTGATCATTGATATAGTAAGACTAATTTTAGTAACAAATCTAATTTTGTATGTTTGAGAAACTTCTAACATTATTCTTGTATTGGCACTATATTGAGTCCTCTTTCCTGCCAATGTCCTTTTGTTATCGTACAATAGCTTTCTTTGTTCCCTAGAGATGTGGTGTTCCTTAAGGATTGTGTAGGAGCAGAGGTAGAAGCTGCTTGTGCTGATCCAGCTACTGGGACAGTCCTGCTTCTTGAGAACCTGCGATTCCACGTGGAAGAAGAGGGCAAAGGCAAAGATGCATCTGGAAACAAGGTGGGATAGCTCCTGTGACTGGTCTTTTTTTATTTTATTAAAACGGCAGTTATTCTGGGGACACTGCAGAATTTGCAAACAACCCTGTTGGTGACTACTCACCTAAACTTGTCCTTTGCTGGCCCTGCGACCCTTCTTCTGGCAGGTCCTCTTTAGCTCCTGGCGCTTCAGTCTCAGGAGCCGACATTGCTGCTGAACTCTCGATGTGCGAGGTTACTACTTTGAGGTCTATGGAGGATCCCACGTGACCGCAGGATCCTCCATCGATAAAACCAATTCCCTGCAGCCATTACCTGTGATGGTTGGGGGGAGATTGTATGTATATTTTGAGCTACTGCCAGAGTAGTTTATACTTTGTCTCAGTATCTCTTGACTGAGTTGGCATTTCAGTGAATTTCCAACAGTCGTTATGAGTATTTCATAAAGATTTTATCTTAAAACTCATTTGGGTGAGGGGATGTCACTGACAGTACTGCTTTAAGTGACTTTAATCTCTCAATAAAATGTTCTCCTCCCCCTCAGAAGTGTTGGCTTGTCATTTTAAAGGAGATTGAGCATAGAGCACATTCTTGTATTTGATACTGTCTGCAGACCTTATGGCCTCTGACATTTGCTGTAAGGTTAGAGTTCTTCCTTTTTTTAGCATGAGTGACCCAGATGAACACATTGCCCTTGAGGCAATTCACCTACTGTACAGCCTGACAAATGTCGACCTATATTTAAATGACCTTTACTGTCTGAAATGAGAGACCCTGTGTGGGAACTGGTTTTCGTGCCACTTGTGCTTATTTGACCCTGTGATATGTTGTGCAGAATGGGGGGGGGGGAAATGCTGCTTTTTTTTTTTTTTTTTTGGGAAAAAATTTGAATCAAATGTATTTTTTATTTTTTTTTGTTTAATTTAACATTCACATTATAAGTTGTCTGCCCTAAAGTATGTCTATTTTCTAGTTTGTAAAGTAAATGCAAATATACAGACCTTCTGAATGTTTGTTTTGTATGCTCTTTTTCTGTAACTTAAATTCTAATTAGTAACTCTATTTCCACCATCTTTTATATAGATTAAGGCAGATGCTGCACATGTGGAGACATTCAGAGCATCCCTGTCCAAACTTGGAGATATTTACATCAATGATGCATTTGGAACTGCCCACAGAGCTCATAGGTAGCTGTCGATCCATGTTCTGCTTCATTAGTGGGAAATATGTGGGGACTTGGTAATCTAGATAAGTGTGACTAGAACGGTGAACACTTCTTCTACATTTGGCTGTGTTCTCTAGAGCCCTTTAATCTGAGCATGTGTCACATCCGGGAATAAATTAATGCCATGTCCCTCTGCGTCTTTTTGATATAGAGTACTTTGCTGCTCTCTTCGTTAATTGGCATTGATTAAATATTATCCACACTGAAGTCTTCATTACTTAAACACCGTAGAGAGCAGTGTGAATTCTGCCCGCAGGTATCTATTCAATCTCAGATTTTCTTTTGTGCCAGTGAAGCCAATACATCAGCTAAAGATCCAGTAAATTGTCTGGTTAAGTTTTGCTATTGATGTGGTTATATCTGGTAATCTATAATATATAATGATTTTATTTTTAAGCACTATGCATTTGGCCATCGATTAACTTTATTTTACTTTGCATGAATTATTTATTTATTTTTTTTAATATATCACTGCTCTATTTTGTAGACTTCATTTGCTTAAATGGCTGGTTGTTGATTTGGGTTTTGCTAGTATTTGGGGACAGGCTGTATAACTCTTAAATTGTATTAAAGGAACCCTCCGTGCACTTTAGCTTGCACAAAGTGCAGATTCCAGTAGAGATTGATATTTTATAAATTAATCTTGTTACACCCCCCTGACTGTTAGACAGCAGGTCCTGTTCCTGCAATTGCCCAGAACACCTGCCTTGTAAAGACTCCTCATTGAGCTGTATTGGGAAGTCTGTGATTGGACAGCCTCAGAAAGTATGGGTTTAAGGAAGGCTTTTCGATATACTCTCATGAAAATATGCACACTTAAATTTCCCTTCAAAGTACACTTGGTCAAGCATTAGGTGTCTTAAAGGACCACTCTAGGCACCCAGACCACTTCAGCTTAATGAAGTGGTCTGGGTGCCTGGTCCAGCTAGGGTTAACCCATTTTTTCATAAACATAGCAGTTTCAGAGAAACTGCTATGTTTATGAATGGGTTAAGCCTTCCCCTATTTCCTCTAGTGGCTGTCTCATTGACAGCCACTAGAGGCGCTTGCGTGCTTCTCACTGTGAAAATCACAGTGAGAGCATAAGCGCTCCATAGGAAAGCATTATGAATGCTTTCCTATGTGACTGCTGAATGCTGCGCGCTCGCTCTTGCATTCAGCGTAGGGGAGAGAAGAAGAGGAGGATGAAGGAGGAGGTCTTCAGCTGGAAAAAGGTAAGTTATTACCCCTTTCCCCCTTCCAGAGCCGGGCGGGAGGGGGTCCCTGAGGGTGGGGGCACCCTCAGGGCACTATAGTGCCAGGAAAACGAGTGTTTTCCTGGCACTATAGTGGTCCTTTAAGGGATGGTGTGACTACATACGGATGTTTAAAATGATACTGTGAAACTATAATAGTTCATGTTATGACAAACTTCACACAATGTGTATAAAGCTAGCAGCTGCTGAAAATTCTAGTTTGGATCAACAGAGCCCCACTTTTGCCAGTGAGGGTCAATGATTGTTAAAGGGACACTCCAGGCACCAAAACAACAATCTAAATGATGTTATGGAGGCACCGATTCACTAACCTGGCTTGGAAAAGGAATGATTCTCTCCAAGCTGACCACTCTCCAGCCAATCGGCGGCTCAACTACCTGGCGGCACACCATGCTTCCCGAGTCTGAGAATTCAGGAGCCGAATACTGCAGAGGGGAGTGGAAATCACAGCTGGAGGCACCTTTTGGGATTAAAAAGTTTGGGCAGAGTAAGAGTGCCTCCAGGGACATCCTGGCACCAAACTAACTTAATTTAGATTAAGTTTTTATGGTGCCTGAAGTGTCCCTTTAACAAAGGAACACCTATGTGTTGCCTTACCTCATTCTTGGTTGGTGAATTGCACAAAATACTCCTTTTCTTCCATCTCCTGTATCCTATCTACCCATATATGATGCTACTCCAATAATAGAGGTTTTGGGGTTTGTTTGGGTTTTTTTTTTTCACCAGAAGCTGGTCTGGTACCCAAATGCCATACTTGCTTCTCCAATCCATTTTGTATCCATCCCTCTCTTAAAGTATTAGAATTGCTTTAGAATGCTGCCCTATTGCATTTTCGACTTTTAAAACCTGTCCTAGTGGAAATACTCGATTGCAGGTTGAAATTTGTTTTTGGGGGGGGGGGGAAATATATTTACACCCAAGTAAGTTGACAGCTGTTTGTCTTTTCCCCTTTTAGCTCCATGGTTGGAGTCAACTTGCCACAGCGAGCTGCTGGGTTCCTTATGAAAAAGGAGCTTGACTACTTTGCCAAGGCTTTGGAGAACCCAGAGAGACCTTTCTTGGCTATCCTTGGTGGGTAAGTAAAAATGCACAGGAAAGAGAAACTCACATGTTTGTCTAAAATGGCACTACTGGAGCAAGTGTGCTTTAATAACAAACTTGCTCATCCCTGGCTATTGGTCTTAAGTACTAATCCTTTTTAGGGAGAATCTTGTACATTATCAATGGTTTAAGAGTGAGATGTATTTTTGTGATTCCTAGTAGTGCATTTATGTCAAGTTTATTCTAGGTTACCCCAATAAGATATTACATTTTTTATGGTGATTTTTAATCATTTTATCTGCTTGAATCTTACATGTTTCTACTAAAGGGATGACTTGGTTTGTGTAAGTGATAAGTGCTTAAGGGCAGTAGTTATGTTGCCAAGAGCCTTATCGCTGTCTCCCAGTTTAACACTAAATTGTTTCAAAACTGTTTGTTAAAACAAGTTCTCCATACTACTTGAAAGCTGCCCCCTCTTATGTTGCACTCTACAAAAAAATAAAATTCCACTCTTGCTTTATCAATGTCGGTTTCATAAACCTGAGCAATTGGCTGAGCGTGCTCACAGTGAGTTTTCAGCCAATCCCAAGCCTTCACAGGAATATGCCCAATATCCCTTGTGAAGTATAATGCAGTGGAATGTATTGAAGCATTACATAGAATGCTGGTGCTATGGGCCAGTCAAAGAATTTCGATTAGTTCCCTGTGCGTCATTGTAGAAAGTTGTGTTTTTTGTGTTTTTTTTTGTTTTGTTTTTTTTTCTTCTGTAAAAGTGCTGATCTTTAAAGCAGCCTACTATGCTAAGCATGTGTTTATAAAAGGATTTGCCTAGTCTTTGACCCCTTGTCTCTCTCTTCAATGGCCCTCAGACCTGCAGGGCAGTGACTAGCTGAGTAAGCAGATTTGTTACATTTTTGCAGCCAGGACAGACAGCAATGTAATGTCTGTCATGGGAATCTTTGACATGAGAGAATGCCGTTTGCTTGGTGTAGCGTACATGTAACTTATTTACTTTTTTTATGAAAGGAAAAAAAATAAAGGAACAATCCAAATGTCTAAAGCACCCCACCCCTTGCATATTTTTTTTAAAATGATTTGTATAGAAATTGTCATGATTATAAAATGTTGTCACTATGACGGCCATGGAGGTTTTCTGCTTGCTTGGTCTGAACTATATCAGAAGTGAGCCGCTACACCGATCAACACTTGCCATTCAAGTAGCTGTTGATAAGAGTTCTGCTGTTAATAGAAGCTAGCTCTTGATTATTTTTTATTTTTATTTTTTTTAGTATCTGCTATATGACTGACTTATTTCAAAAAATATATAATTAATGTAGGTTCTCTAAGCCACATAGGAAAGTGTATGGTGCTTGAACCACAATTTCAGAGGTTATCTGTCTTTGAAATGCACTTCATGAGTGCATCTACTCTTTCGGAGTTTTCACCATTTCGGCACATACAGCCTTTTCGCATATCAAACCTGAGCTAATCCCCCTTGTTTTCACGTTTTGAATTCTAACCTCACAGTTCATATCCCACACACTGTCTGTCACACAACGTTGGTTGTTTTTTTTAATTTTTTTATTTTTTTATTTTTTTTATTTAAGAAAGGCTTGTAACAAGTTCTCTATTGTCCAAATTGAGGTTTTAGACACCGATAAAGGAGGTTTTAAATCATAGATGGGATAATCCTGGTTTATTGGGTCAGAGTCAGGGCAGTGGGAATGCTACTGTACATTAATCTGCTGCTGACTGTCTTCTTGGAGAGCTAAGCCTGATCTTTATATGCAGGGCCAAGGTCAAGGACAAGATTCAGCTGATCAATAACATGTTGGATCAAGTGAATGAAATGATCATTGGAGGAGGGATGGCCTTCACATTCTTGAAAGTGCTAAACAATATGGAGGTAAGAGGCCCTGACCAACTCTATTCTGAAGTGGAAATTACCTGCAGATTAATGCACTGAAAAGCTTAATATTGAACTGTTGATCCATGTCTGGTTAAAGGGTTATTACTCCAACTGCTATTAGAAGCGGTAAGAGTCTGTATGTGCAGATCTATCTGCTTGAAATGCTGAACATTCAGAGATTTTTATTTTGATGAAATTAGGAAAAATAAAATCTCAGCCAGTTTATATAATTCAGTTCAGTGACACAGTGGATAATTCACTGAACCTGAAATTTATGGTGACTTACTAGTTCAAATAGAAAGCTTAAATATAGCATAGTCTTCAATTTGGTTTTCCGTTCTTTAAAATATATTAAAAAAAAAAAAAATTCAAACCACTAAAGCACTTCACCCTGTTACAGTTTATAAATGTACAGATAATATTGCTCTAATGTCGTTTTGCATGATTTTAAAATCTAACATTCTCTGCAGATCGGCACTTCCCTGTATGATGATGAGGGAGCCAAGATTGTAAAGGATCTGATGGCAAAAGCAGAGAAGAATGGAGTAAGGATCACCCTGCCCGTAGACTTCACAACAGCTGACAAGTTTGACGAGAATGCAAACACTGGACATGCCAGCGTCTCCACTGGGATCCCAGCAGGATGGATGGTGAGTCCTCTGAGCTGTGAAACCTATTACTCTACAATAAAAAATGTATTCTTCTTTCATAAAAATAGATCAGTAGTCATGTCAATCTAGGGTATTTTAAGGACTAAATTTTTTAATGATCAATTTAGAGAAGTGTGACATTGCATAAACACAGTAAACCTAATAAAACAGTTGGAATGTCAATGCAAAAAAACCCAATACAGTACTTTCTACCATTTTAAATGTAAACTGAGTAAAGCTCAATTGGGTAGGCAAGACTAACGTGTATCATGTGAAAACAATGGATTTTTATTTTTTTTGTGTCTCAAAGCCAAAAAATAGGTAAAGGTAAAACCAGCATATCCCCCCTTGCAAATAAAAGTTGGTCTGTTTTTACACAGCGATCATAAGTGGGGGACAATGGTGGGCCTAGGAACCCCTTAACCAGGGGTCCTAAAACTCCAGCCCCACAGATGTTGCTTAACTACAACTCCCATGATTCTTTGAATTACATAGCCAGAGAATCATGGGAGTTGTAGTTCAGCAACATCTGGGTGGCCGGAGCTCTAGGACGTCTGCCCTTAACCAACACTTCCTAAATGGAAGATAACAGACATTAGCACATTATCATATGTAACTAGGAAATATAATTTTTTTTTAAACCTACAGTCAATATTTGTGGTTTGCAAATAAAACCCATAATGGAGTACACCGATGACCCAGCATCAAACCGTGACTTTGTTATGGAAGGTTCCTGCATTAAGGCAGGTAGGAAGGGCTTAGCTGTAGTTGGCTCACAGGCAGTGCATATGATGGTCAGGAGATAGACCCAGTTTAATCTAGAAGTTCTGGCTGAGGCATGTTTGACAGTCCCAGAGACTTGAGTGGCCTCTAAGCATCTTGGGGTTTCACCAGGGCTATGGAAAATTATGTTGGCAGTCAGAGGGATCTGCACCACTCCATAATTGTGCACAACAGATCCTGTAATAAATCTGTCCCCAAAATGGTATGGTGTTTTATTGCACCAAGTGGATGAAAAGGCCATTTTATTCTGACAACTTTTAAATATGGTATCGCTGCTCATCTCAGCAGTAGCATTATTCAGTAGCATCCTTTAAGGAGCATAGCCTTCACTTATTTAGCCTGAATTAGGTGGGATAGCAATTACTTGAAAAAGTGAGGCAGTTCAGCAATGTCCCCTATCTGGCACACCTCAGAGCTTGTGCTTTTTTTTTTTAATCTCCACTTATCCATGGCATACAAGCCCTGGAAGGGTGGTCTGCGCCCATGGCCGATGCATGTCTTGTATCATAAGTTCAAACACTGTAGTGTGTATTGTCAGTTCCACACACTGAGTGATTTTAAATTCCCCTCTTGCTGTAAAATGCTTTTATACGCAGTAATATTGTGGCATAACCTCCTGCGCAAGAATGGTGTTTCGATAATGGCGCCATGAACAGTTGTGCAGCTTTCTGAAGAGTACCTACCTTGACATAAGTAATAGCTTATCTGCCTTGTACATTTGTATGTATTTTTGTACCCGCATCTCATAGTGTTAAGGTAGGAAATGCCAATGTGCACTGGTTGTGGTGCAATAAGAATGTTAGCTATTTGTGTAAAATAAGCAAGTCAGGGAGCTGGAAGAATGTGCATCGGATCGGTAATACCTTTTTTAAGGGCTAAACCATATCTACTTATCTAAACACCTTCAGACCCATTATAACGTGGAGTTTGCTTTACTCTAGTCCTGAAGGGGTTTGTTGTCAATTTACACTTTACTTAGACTTTTTTTTTTTTGTCTTATTAGGGTCTAGACTGTGGGCCAGAGAGTATAAAACTGTTTGTAGAAGCAGTTGGAAGAGCCAAGCAGATAGTCTGGAATGGCCCAGTTGGCGTTTTCGAGTGGGACAAGTTTTCTAAAGGAACCAAAGCTGTAATGGACAAAGTGGTTGAAGTCACTGCTAAAGGCTGCATTACCATCATTGGTAGGTTGTGCTGATATGGGATTCCATGTATCCAGTAATTTGTACAGCATTATTGAAGGCTTTACTGTCCATTAACCTACAGACCATTCTAACAAACTTCAACTGAAGTGAAACTGCATTGCTCTTCCTGAACTCATGCAGCCAGACTATCCCTAGCAATCTCTAGTACCTACCTTCAGTATTGGGAGAAAATCTGTGTTCCTTACATTACTTGGAAATGGGACATAACAGCAAAGATGTGTGACTGGGAAAACCTAATTTGGATAATGCTGCATGAAGGAGATCGCTTACTTTATTTATAGTTCTCCTATTTTTCTTAACTTTAGGTGGCGGAGACACAGCAACCTGCTGTGCCAAGTGGGACACTGAAGACAAAGTCAGCCACGTCAGTACTGGAGGTGGTGCCAGCTTGGAGCTCCTTGAGGGTAATGCATTATAGTAACTTTATAAAATGCCATAAGGCATAACAACCAGTCAGGTTAATGACTGCCATCTACATGGAGTTGGTGGTATCAGTATTTTTGCAACATTCTCCTCTGTGCCCAACTTTCTATGTGGCCCTTCATTCTTGGCTGCATTATTAGTGGCACACTCAGTGTTTAGTGCATAAAGCAATGTGCCAGATAAATCATTGCATTGAAATTACCATTTCAGTGTGAGGGATCTTGGCATTGACTATTGTTTGTATCTTAAAACTATACCAGAATGTAAGCACAGATTGTTTTTAGAGTAAATAGCTGTCCCTCTGGGTTGGTATAACGCTAGGATTTGACTGGTAGGTAAAGCATGTAATCAATCCATTTATGTTTGTTCTAGCTTAATTGTCTGGCAGTAGATAAAGGGATTATCCCATCAAAATGTCTGCTGTGATGCTCCACTAAAATCCTGTATGACAGGGATGACTAAAATGCAGATCTGCAGTGTTGGAACACAAATCCCTAGCTGTTGATGGAATTTACCATTTGGTTACCACAGTTGGAGTAGGAGATGATGAACCTGCATAATTGGAATCTGGTGCAAACCAAAAATACTTCGGGAAAGTGCCTCCCTTGCTTTTCAGTAGATCATCCCAAATTGTCCCCCAAAAGAGAAAATTGTGTAATAAATGCCTTTGAACTTCTAGGATTTGGATGGAGATAACATTTTGAAGTTAAGAATTTTGATGCCAGATGCACTATTTTCATTTTTGGTTCCCCCTACAAATGTCACCTTTTTAAGATGGTGTATAGGAAATCTATAAAACAAGGCAAATTTTTTTCTTTTTTCTTACACAGGCAAAGTACTTCCTGGAGTTGACGCATTGAGCAACGTGTAACTGTTTCCATAACAAGTTAGACAACGGTTTGGCCCAGAACACTGGGAGCAAGCACTGATAACAGATGAAAAGCCTACCACAATCCCACGCACTTAACATGGACAAACCCTCATGGTTCTGAGCTAGTTGAATCTGTCATATTAATCCTCGTTACTACCTAAAGGGTCTGCAGTATGTTGCATTGCTTGGATTGAAGGGGTTAAACTCCCAGTAGCTAACGCACATGTCTGGAAGTGGTATGTTTTGGTATGTTCTAGGCTCATTTTTGTTCCTGTAACTGTTATTGTGCACTTAGATGTATATATTGCCCTGTAGGTGTCTGAGTCTATGCATTTCGTTTTAATCTGTTATTCAGTTGCATTAACTGTATACAGGAAAGATACATGGGCTCTCCAGTAATCTGCTCAAATTAAAAAGTAAAACAAAAAGGTGTTTGTTTTTTTTATTTTTCCCCTCCAATTAAAAACTTGGTGTGATTTGTTCAAACTCTTACCTGGTTACACCCTCTTGGCTTTCAAGCAGACAAGTAATATTACTTCCTGTTTTCATTAGCTTAATGCAGTTGACCTAAAGAGGCAGCAATTGCCCAGAGCACCTGATTTACAAAGACTTATCATTGCGCTACATTGGGAAGTCTCTGGGCAGGGTTAGAAGGGGAGAGCTTGCACAGGCAACAGACAGAACTGCAGGTTTTGCAAGCTGATTTGAGATATAACTCAATGAAGAAAAATACTTACATTCAGTAAGTGTTCACTTGGGATTTATCTATTAAACAGTGATATTTATTCTTGGGCAGTGGAGTGTCCCCTTTAAGCTTCATATGGCTGTTGTGGCTAAACTAACCTTGCCACTGGGCATTGGAGAAGACTGTTTGCCTGCCTGCTGACTATGGCCCCTGGGAGATTTGGCTCTTTTAATACAGTATTTGGGCATATTGTATTTTATTATGCTGCTGCTGGCCCTTTAAGAACCATCTGGGGACATACTGTGACTTTTGGGAACAATGCCCTTTAAGGCTATGGCCCTTGGAAGATATTGCCTGTTAAAGGCTAATTTAGCAGATTGGATTTTAAAACACTTGCTGCCCCTTTAAATTGTATTGGAGCAGTTCTGCAGCTTTAAATTGGCACTTCGGATGCAGTCGAAGTAGTCCAAGTGGCCGCCATTTGACAAACTAACATGTGGTGGCGGCCATCTTTAATTCAGCTGAAGTTTTACCTTCTCCAGACTTCAATGCATTCTATTGTTAGAATGCCGTTCGACAATTCGAATGGTTGTCGTTCATATGTTTGTTTGAACTGACTTTAACATGGGAAATAGACCGACCGCACAGCCTGATTCTCTGGAACTGTTTTTTGGGCATGAAAATCTGCTTGCGGTCGGTCAAACTTGACTTATATCTATCTCCCGAACGGCTGAATGGATTCGAATGATTTTTGGGTATGTTTATATGTGAAATGTGCTGATTGATTAATGTGTTTTTATGAAGATTGGATGTATATTTTTAAAGTTATAGTACTTATATAAACTGTTTTTTCCTGCTTGTGATAATTGTTAACTCATTGTGTACCATAATTATATCACAGGCAGAGGGGAGGATTTTGTGTATAATTGCTGGGAGTGTTTTCTGTAATGTACATGTGTTATTGGTTGTTCTGTAAGACCCTGTGGGCAGTACTAAGTTTGTGGATTGGGAATAAAAGAGGCTGTATGTGCCAGTACAGTCAGTTCTGCTTGACCTCAAAACGAAGTGTCGTCTCGTTATTGGGGGAATTGGATTGTATGCTGATTGGCAGGAGTGTAAGCTGATTGTATGCTTTTCCTGTTCAGCTGCTTACAGCATTCGTATGCTTCTCCGGTTCGGTGGTTGTGGTGTCTGCTGCAGTGCTTGGAGTCGTCAGGAAGCGCTAGGAGCATCCTTCAACGGAGGGACCCAGTCGGGGTGCCAGGTGATCCGTTAGAGCTGTGTCTAGTCTATGATGTTTTTAGTCACCTTATCAATGATGGTGATTGGCCTGAATCTGCTTAGATGTTTCCCTCCGCCTCCTGGTGGTGACACAAGGAAGCAACGTCAGGGTTTGTATGCACCTTTTATTCTCCATCTGTCTGTTGCAGTTCTTGCAATGGAGTGAAACGTGACCTTTTGGAGTGAGCATCCAGGGCTATGTTTGGCAAGGCCAGTACTCTGCCTACCAAGCACCTGGGATTTATATGGAATATAACAGTGTGGCTGGAAAGGAATTGAGGGTTATGGGTTCATGGTGAGATGTGGATGGAGAATGTTATGGAGGGACTATATCATTAAGGTAAATGTGATCTGTATGTGGAAACTGAGTAGATAAGAATGAAAACCGATTGAGAGTAAGGAATAAAGCAATTGGGGAATCCTATTTAGGGTAATGAGAGAAAAGGCTATGGTGGATGGTGTAGTCTAGGCACCATTAGTCACTAAGCTAAAGCTGATGTTGCACTATAGTAATATCAATTTTGTACAAGCTTGGCACTCAGTTTTAGTTGTTAGCTGTGCGCACCCTCCTGCTTTAGCGGTTTAATACCTTTTTAATACATGTGCTTTTTGCATAGCCCTGTATGTAACTGATATACAGTTGCGTGGACTGACTACATTTTGATTTTAACAATCTTTAAACTTGCTATCAATTCTCTTTGCACAATTAGTATCGATAAAATGTGATCCTGTTTTATTTGAGCTAAAGTTTGGTATTACAATGACAAACACTTTTTTTTCCTCCTTAATAATTTGAAATGGATTTGACAATGACGGCCAAGATCATGGGTTGATGTGCTGTTTCCCTTATATCCTGGTGGCTTAAGCTTGGAGAGCAGATCAGCGTCCTTTTCGGTCCACTGTTTACTCCCATTAGGGAAAGTGATATCTTTTATAACCTATGTCGAAAAAGGGAAAGCTCTGACTCAAGACGAACTAGATTCGACATTAGGCGTTTCGGACGCCAAGAAGCTTGGAAGTGTAATCCTGCATTTCTATACTAAGTGTGGATAGTTCAGTGGGTTTAGACCTTGCTCAACCCGTGGGGTTCACAGGTTCGATTCCCCTGCAGGGTTGACTCAGCCCTTCATCCCTTTGAAGTAGATGACTGGAGTACCATTCAATGGAGTCACTTAACATTCCCAGGATGCATTTGGGAACCAGTATTTATCTTAATGTCAATCACTAGTTGCCTGATCTAGTTAAAGAGGGCACCGCTTGCTCTTTTTCAAATCTGCCCAATCCATAATGTTCCGAACATCTGATACTCTATATTTAAAGAAACGGTGTTCAAGGAGTTTGAGATATGGTTCTGTGGACCACAAAGTTCATTGGGTTCCCCAGGAATCTCCTGGTTTTCAAACTCTGATCATTCCTTTAAGCCCTTAAGGACCAAACTTCTGGAATAAAAAGGAATCATGACATGTCATACATGTCATGTGTCCTTAAAGGGTTAAACCTGTTGAATTTAAATTAATTGGTTCCTCTCCTAAGGTTCAGAATTGAAACTTCTGCCTCTGTAACTCTGATTTTGCAGAAAGGAATTTCATGGTGTAAATAGATCAGAGATATATTCCCACATTATCCCTACTGCGGCCCCTCAAGAATTTTTCCAGAATACGTGGATTATAGAGATTTAATTGCTCTTCAAAATTCACGTTGAATAGTTGGTCTATCTATCTAAGGGTATTTCTCTGGGCTTACTTTTTTTTTTTTTCTCCAATATCCTGTTCCCAAGACTTCTTCAAAGAGGTAACGGACAGAGCAGGGGTTCTGACAATCTGTCTGTACTAGCCAAACACAAGTCCGTTTTTGGCATTGGTGGAGATGACTTTCAAGTTTGGGTATCTTCCGATCTCAAACACTTTTGGAAGACAGGATATCCTACTGGAGGTGTTGAATATGTTCTCATTGATGGTAGGGCACTGCATGGTGGATCCTTCATCTCCTGAGTCTTCATGAGTCAGAGTCCACTGTTGCGTATAATCTTCTACGCAACATGAGGTTTTGCGTAGAGTGTCTACATTGTTGTAAGGAACGTCTTTGTCTTCTAGTTCATTTGTCCGGTTGGTTCAAATTTACACCAACTGCAGGAGATTTCCACAGGTTGAGTGTTTCCACATTAAGACCAAATTGTATTCCCTAAGTTCTTTCTGAGAAGGGATTGGTCTTTGTGTATACTGGTTAGAAGTTTATTTAAAGCAATAAGTTTCTTGGGCCACCCAGGAAGTTCTGTTTCCCTCCTGGGATCTCCTTTCAGGTCCCCCTTTACTTTGCAGGTGCCTCTTTTTTAATCTGCTGAAGCTTAACCGGCATTCTTAGTGGCCATTAGCTCTGCCAAGAGAGTAAGCGAGCTTCAGGATATAAATCATCTTCAGTGGAATTTCTTATATTCCATCAAGGTGAAAGTTGTTTCATCTAAAAACTTCAATTCTTCCAGAGTTTTCTTTTAGAGCTGTTAATCAGCTCATCCTTCTATAATTATGCCACCGCCCCGCTGGAACTAGATGGCATATTCTAGAGTTAAAATAAACAGCATTTCAGATGTACCTATCAATATCAGCCGAATTCAGAAGATCAGATCACCTGTTGTCAACTTCTAGGAAAGTTTTAAGGGGAATGAAGCCCTTTCTTAATTCTATTTCTCGTTATTTCGTCAATCATATGGGCTATGCTTCAGTAGTTTTGATTTGCCAGCGTCTTTCACAGCGCATTCCACAAAAGCAATGGCCACTTCATGGGCAGAAAAAAGCTATTGCTTCAGCCGAAGAAATCAGCATGGCTGCTTCTTGGTTAGCTTTTAGCACCTTACAAAACGTCAGGCATTATCAGGCTGGTTGTACTCTCTGTCTCTAAAATTGCATTAGGGGGTAGGTACTTCAAGCTGTTTAGGCATAAAGCCCACCCGATTGGGAACCTTGCTATATCCCATACGTACTGCCACCATATGTCAGAAAAAACTGAAATTTTTACACACCTTAACATTATTTTTTACTAATATGGTGGCAGTACAAATCTCCCTCAATTTAAATTACAATTTTGCTTACACAGTGGCGTACACATGACCCATGGGGCCCCGGTGCGAAAATTGATCCGTGGGCCCACTTACTCGGCGCGGGTTGGGGCTGTAACACATGGCGGCGGGCACCTGGTTGCAGGGCTGCGACCGCGGTATGCACACACACTTAAAGGACCACTACAGACACCCAGATCACATCAGCTCAATGAAGTGGTCTGGGTGCCAGGTCCCTCTAGTATTAACCCTGCAGCTGAAAACCTAGCAGGTTCAGAGAAACGGCTGTTTCACTGAGGGTTAATCCAGCCTCTGGTGGCTGTCTCATTGACAGCCGCTAGAGGAGCTTCCGCGATTCTCACTGTGAAAATCACAGTGAGAAGACACTGAACGTCCATAGGAAAGCATTGAGTAATGCTTTCCTATGGGCGGTTTAAATGCGCGCGCCTCTTGCCGCGCATGTGCATTCGTAGCTGAGAGGCGGAGGTATCCCCAGCGCCAAGGGAGTCCGACGCTGGAGAAAGGTAAATGCTGAAGACACACACTCTCACGAACAGACGCATACACACTAGCTAACACACACACGCTCAGTGACAGACATACATACACTTTCACTGACAAACACACACTCAGTAACATACTCACTAGCAGACACACACACCCAATAACAGACACACTCACTGACACACAAACACACACATTTAAAAAAAAAAAATGTAATCCCCACCAGCCTCCTTACCTTTTTGGAGTGCTGGGGGATTCCCTGGGGTCCAGTGGTGCTGCTGGGCGGGCGGGCTGTCTGGGCGCGAGGGAGCACTCTCTCCTGTGTGCTTCCTCTTCAGCTCCTTCGCGTGCCGCATAGGGATGCCGGCGCTGGAAGATGACGTCATCTTCCGGCTCCGGTATCAGTGCGGTGCACGAGGAAGCACAGGGGGGAGTGCTCCCTCGCGCGCCAGCCTGCCCGCCCGCACAGCAGCACCACTGGACCCCGGGTTCAGCAGGGCCAGCCTCGGGGGGTTGGGGGCCGCCAGGAGAAGAGGCTGGCCCTGTGGGTACATGCGACCCTGGTATGTACGCCACTGTGCTTACAGTGTGCAGCTTAGGTGTGTATTCTTGCTACGACTGAGGTTTACTGGGGAAGCCTTTTATAGGGTAAAGGGGAGGGACCTTTCTTAATTACCTATCTCTCAGATGCTTGTCCCAATTATGAAGCACAACCCCCCTCCCCCCCATACGTACTGCCACCATAATAAGAAAAAATAAATTTACGGTGAGTAAAAATCTCCGGTATTGACTTTTTTTTTTTTTAAACTCACTGCTAAACTGATTGAGCCAGTTAACACATCTTGTGGTTTTTAGTTGGCTCAATCAATCATGCATATTATAATAGATACTGATTTACATGTTTATTTTAACAGGCAGATCATGTTTTAGATGATCTAGGTGCACAGATGGTCTAGGAAAATTAGGGAAATGATTGCATGGGTGACTACAACAGCAGTCAACATTAACCTCTATGCTACCTTCATTTAAAAACAAAAAAGTAGAATGATGAGTGTATTATGGGGAAAAGGCCATCTGTGTTCTGGAGAGATTTTATAATCCTCTTGATTTTTATTGTGGTTTATAAATGTCTCCAGAATCCCTCAATGGTGATGTCTTCCCATAATAAATGGTTCCACTTTACGTATCCGCTATATATAGACATAACCTTTAAAGGGTTCCTTGGTCTATGATCAAGGCTACAGCCTGCTGTAGTGGTTATTGTATTAGGAGAACCTAAATGCCATGGCTGGGTCTCATTTGCTACAGGTTTAGGATTTCCCATATCTAAAGCGCTGTCAAATTCCACCTACTGCACTTTCATTGACTGTCAGCTGCTTGCTTTCAGCCACTAAATGCCCCTCAGTATACTGTACTTAAAATGCACAGAATTGATCCTAGTCTGCCTGGAACTCTTTGTTCTGGGCTGGCTAATTATACCCCACCTCAGTGATGCTGATAAGGGCTGCAAAGTTGTTAAATCTGTATGTGCACCCTAACCACTTTAAATTGTATAAGTAGTGATGGTGCTTGGAATAACCCATTTATACATGCAAGGTCAATCCTACATGAACTTTTCATATGTGTGGAGGTTGAAGTTTAATGGCTGTGCTATCCTACACCCCTGGAATGTGGCTCAACCCAGTAAAATCTACCTTGTTACCTGTGGTGCTCTACCTCCTTTACCCCCCTGTATTCAGTGCTGTCCTGGAAGGTACTTGTGTTAGGATCCTGTATTTTGAGTCTCTTGTTGTTCAAGGTAAAGAGTGGGGGATGAGTGCATTAGGACTAATGTTCTCCTGTGTTTGTCTATGTCTACTTTTTAATAAAAGAGCTGTCTCGTGTGGAGTGCATCACCTGTACTGTACTCTAACTGGACCTGTATGAGTAAGCAGCAGACCTATAATGCAGATTTTAAAAGTTGGTCTGGCTTAAAGGGACACTATAGTCACCAGAACAACTACAGCTTATTGAATTTGCTCTGATGAGGAGAATCATTACCTTCAGGCTTTTCAGAGAAAATGCAGTGTTTACAGGGAGTGCAGAATTATTAGGCAAGTTGTATTTTTGAGGATTAATTTTATTATTGAACAACAACCATGTTCTCAATGAACCCAAAAAACTCATTAATATCAAAGCTGAATATTTTTGGAAGTAGTTTTTAGTTTGTTTTAGTTATAGCTATGTTAGGGGGATATCTGTGTGTGCAGGTGACTATTACTGTGCATAATTATTAGGCAACTTAACAAAAAACAAATATATACCCATTTCAATTATTTATTATTACCAGTGAAACCAATATAACATCTCAACATTCACAAATATACATTTCTGACATTCAAAAACAAAACAAAACAAATCAGTGACCAATATAGCCACCTTTCTTTGTAAGGACACTCAAAAGCCTGCCATCCATGGATTCTGTCAGTGTTTTGATCTGTTCACCATCAACATTGCGTGCAGCAGCAACCACAGCCTACCAGACGCTGTTCAGAGAGGTGTACTGTTTTTCCTCCTTGTAAATCTCACATTTGATGATGGACCACAGGTTCTCAATGGGGTTCAGATCAGGTGAACAAGGAGGCCATGTCATTAGATTTTCTTCTTTTATACCCTTTCTTGCCAGCCATGCTGTGGAGTACTTGGACGCTTGTGATGGAGCATTGTCCTGCATGAAAATCATGTTTTTCTTGAAGGATGCAGACTTCTTCCTGTACCACTGCTTGAAGAAGGTGTCTTCCAGGAACTGGCAGTAGGACTGGGAGCTGAGCTTGACTCCATCCTCAACCCGAAAAGGCCCCACAAGCTCATCTTGATGATACCAGCCCAAACCAGTACTCCACCTCCACCTTGCTGGCGTCTGAGTCGGACTGGAGCTCTCTGCCCTTTACCAATCCAGCCACGGGCCCATCCATCTGGCCCATCAAGACTCACTCTCATTTCACCAGTCCATAAAACCTTAGAAAAATCAGTCTTGAGATATTTCTTGGCCCAGTCTTGACTTTTCAGCTTGTGTGTCTTGTTCAGTGGTGGTCGTCTTTCAGCCTTTCTTACCTTGGCCATGTCTCTGAGTATTGCACACCTTGTGCTTTGGGCACTCCAGTGATGTTGCAGCTCTGAAATATGGCCAAACTGGTGGCAAGTGGCATCGTGGCAGCTGCACGCTTGACTTTTCTCAGTTCATGGGCAGTTATTTTGCGCCTTGGTTTTTCCACACACTTCTTGCGACCCTGTTGACTATTTTGAATGAAACGCTTGATTGTTCGATGATCACGCTTCAGAAGTTTTGCAATTTTAAGAGTGCTGCATCCCTCTGCAAGATATCTCACTATTTTTGACTTTTCTGAGCCTGTCAAGTCCTTCTTTTGACCCATTTTGCCAAAGGAAAGGAAGTTGCTTAATAATTATGCACACCTGATATAGGGTGTTGATGTCATTAGACCACACCCCTTTTCATTACAGAGATGCACATCACCTAATATGCTTAATTGGTAGTAGGCTTTCGAGCCTATACAGCTTGGAGTAAGACAACATGCATAAAGAGGATGATGTGGTCAAAATACTCATTTGCCTAATAATTCTGCACTCCCTGTACATTACAGCTTAGTGATAACTTCACTGGCCACTCCTCAGATGGCTGTTAGAGATCCTTCCTGGGTCATTGCTGCCTAAAATGCATCATGCAACATTCAGTGTCTCCTCCCTCAGCATGCAGACACTGAACTTTCCTCATAGAGATTCATTGATTCAATTCATCTCTATGAGGAGATGCTGATTGGCCAGGGCTGTGTTTGAATTGTGCTGGCTCTGCCCCTGACTGATCTAATTAGCTCTAAACATTACCGGGTGCAGTGCTCGGCATCAGGCAATAGGCTGCTGGGTCAAAAGTCAAAGGGAAACTAAGCACCAGAACAGCACCCTGTGGTTATGGTGTCAGACGTCTCCGCCAGTAATCTGTTGTGCCATTTACCTTGCTGTGTTGGCTGCCATTCTTCCACTGTAAATTGGCAAATATTTCTATATGGGGAAGGGGGGGGCAGAGGTGGTAATGGTAGGATGCTTACGGACATGCTTACCAGGAAAAAGCATAAATAATGCAGTGTCCTAATTCTCACAGGTACTTAAAAATCACACTAATCTCTTATATAGTTTTAGTAGCCTTGTGTCTGTGTTCTACCTCTGGCCCAGTTGCTTGGTGACCAAAATACCCTTGATACATTGCATGCGGTGAATCTCTTAACCATAGAATTCTCATAATTTTCAATAGCTGGAATACCTACATGTGGCCAGCAAGGGGCACTGTGACTGAAGAAAAGTAATTTACTATTGCTAATGAAAAAAACTATTTTAGAGCCTGATAATCTTTTAACACAACAGAAAAGTACACGTGCCTTAATAAACCACATAAGGTGTCTGTTCTATATATATATTATGTTTTTATAAACATTGAAAAGTGGCAAACTAAAATTGAAACTTGTATAATAAAAGTCCATATATTTGAGAAAACCTTTTTACGGTTGATCTTGGGGCATAGTATATGACTATAACCGTTACCATTGGGCTGGACCTTTTTGCAAAATAGCAAATTCCCTGCTCTCAGTGCAATGTGGGTTAGCAGTAGAAATGCTGGTCTTTAGAGGACAACTGTGATCATCATCTTTTATTATTATTATTAAACATAATTATAATTTCAAAAAGTTTTGAAAAGAAAAAAATAAATAAACACACACCAAACCCAAAACCAAACACTGTCTGACCCAAGGTGCATGAACATGGCTGAATGATTCTGACACATACCAGCCAACATCAGCAGTCACAGAATCTGATTGCCATAGGGGATGCGCCAGGGATGCAATAATATATATATATATATTTTTTTTTTTAATCGGCGGACTTGCCTGGGAAGAGGCATGTCCACCCAACAGGCCGACAGACAATTATTTTAGCCGGCCCACTGAGGGCAGGCCCTGCAGGGTCCTAGTGCCGTGAACCAGTGTGAGTGCATCTAATGGTGTGCTTGTGCTATAATTATTGGAGATAGTTCCCTGGTGTTCCCAAAAGCAAGACACCAGGGTAGTAAAGCAGGACAGGACCTGAAAAAGTGTGACTGTCCCACTGATATCAAGAGACATGTTACACTAAAGGTAGGGATGAGATTTTCTAAGTTATTTATTTTAAATAAACTTATTTAACAAATAATATACTTCCTTTCAATACTTGATAAAGGGATTATTATATAAAAAAAAAAAAGATAGCCAGATGTTGGAAACAACCTCGACCACCAACCAAACAAGCCCTACTTCCACAAACTGGGAGTACGAAACCATGGCCAGTAAATATCTCAAAACAAACCACACAGTCAGGGAAGCACAAACAAAGTGGATGCAATACATAGAGAAATAAAGTACCACTTGAAGCAACATGGGGGCAAATGTCCCTACTAGAAGGGAGAAAAGACCCAAAGGAAAGAGAGGTCCTCAGAGCAATACTTGGTCATTAGAAAACACAACTACTAAGGTGGCGGAGTGAAGAGACGGATAGCGCCCCACAACCACAAACAGCCCCCAGCCCGCAAACCTTAATCAATACTGGTAACTCAAGCGGAGAGTACAACATACATGAGTGCCAGGCAGGAAGTACCATGCAGAGCAGACAAGTTGTTGTAAACTAAGTTACAGTTCATTATGTTGGATATTTCATCCTATATTGATAGGCTGCGCACGCTGGTGGAGGGTTAGCAACCTTTATGTGATGGTGAAATACAAGTCACATGATCCACAGTCTGCCTTTTATTTCAGCTCATTTGAATTGGGTGACTCACAATCCCTTCCCTCTCCATTTTTCACATTAATCTTGAGAGCCCAAATTATATGAATAAGACATTATTTTCTCACTTAATCCATAAATTACACTGGTATTGTTTCTGTAACATTGCAATTAAAAAAATAAATCACTCCCTTTGTCTCCCTCTCCTAGCTATCAACCATAAAAGATTGTCATCTATTGAACATTCTATGACTGGTGTCAAGCATTAACATTAGAGTTTAGTAGGAACTATACTAGATGGGGGCGCCTGAGTTTGTCCTGCCTAGGGCAGCACAAAACCAGGATACACCACTGCATACGCCACCTGCACTATTAGGACAGACCTTGCTCCCCTTGTGAAGAGACCTCCTGTTGAGATTGTGCATATGCGCATTCATACCTGAGAAGCAGACTGCGCATAAACCAATGGCAGCTAACATCTTATAAAGCAGATGGAAAGGGGTTTATGGGTTATACTCCATAGACAATTATAAGCCGCTTCTTGGTCAGGGTGGAGTCATTCCTACCTATTTATTGCATACATTTTAAGATTTGCTGTTGTAGATGGTGCAGATAAGGGGCCTACCATTTATAATATCCGTGCACTGGTACTCAGGGATGGAATGTAGCTTTAGCGGGGACATTTGCTTCAATGCAAGATGAATACCAGCCCTGTACCAAAATGCAAGATTAAAATTAGTTTCATTATACACTGTTGGATAGAATGCGTTAAGGATTTCACTGCTTGCACACAGGTGTATCGAAAACATGTGCTTATAATTGACTTCTGCACATCCAGTTATTCTTACATATTTTTTAATACAGAATTTGAGACTCACTGACTTAAACATTTTATTCTAATCCTTGGTAAACCACGAGATTTACAAAGTTTACATTATATCCCAGCAGGTAGAAAGCAGCTTATTCTGCTCAGACAGTGGAAAGGTTCCAGATGGATATGAGCTTTTAGGGTGATTAATGGGACAAAATATTTCTCTTAATATTTTCACACAATAAAAGATCCATTGGAGTTTACTTTTAAATCTTGTTGAAAAGACGCTTTGACACATTATCTAAATAATTGTGTTACACACATTCAAATAATGTCTAGAGACCGATTAGGAAAAGGACAGGTTTGACAGTAAACCCAAGTACTTAGCAACTGTAAAAGTTAAATGTTTATATAAGGTTTTTTGGGGTTGTGTGTGTAAATTTTAATGACACAGAATATAAAAAAGATGTCCCTTCAGAAGTCTGAATTAATGTGATTTCACAAATTTCATTAAAACACATTAGGGGACATTTAGTTATTATCGTGGAGTAAAGAGATACTATAAGATAAGTGATGTTTGAACGCTTTAAACAAATAATATTTTAGAAATAAATAAAAAATTTGAACATTCTGGAAGAAATCCCCAAGAATTTCCCATGATTCAAAGGACCTTTACAGCAGCCAGGAAGTGGCTCCGCTAGTTTAGACAATCACAGGGGTATTCAATAATTTGACAATTGTTAGGAATTCAAAGGGAATTGAAAGTGCATTTCAAATGAAAGACCAAAGGGATCTGAACTGGTAGGAAAGTTGACTCAAATAATTTTCCAATAAAGTTGGTAATTCACTTTAGTAAATAGTCCTTCTGCAATTTCTTCAGTTCAAAACATATTTAAAACGTGTTGAGCACACCAGACACACATTTGTGCTAGTTTATGATGCTTTTAAGCCGTGCTTCCAAATAGTTAAAGGAAACCACTCGTACTGTGCATGCAAACATTCTAAGGTTTATTCATTAAATACCGATACATATTGAATTCAAAACAGAATTGCAAAATGTTGGCAAAATAGTTTATTCAGAAAAACATCTTAACGCAAGCATAGTCACAACGTGGCTATTTTAGTTTAAAGGGACACTATAGACACCCAGACCACTTCAACTGATTGAAGTAGTCCGGGTACATATTCCCAGGTCCTTTAACCCTGGAAAGTTAATTATTGCTGTTTTTAATTAACCGCAATAATAATCTTTATGGGTTAACTACACCTCTAGTGGCTGTCTACCATACAGCAACAAGAGGGACTTCCTGGTCGTTAGACTTTTGGTTGCCTAACTGACGCTGGACATCCTCATGCGATGAATGATGACATCCAGCGTCATCTGGTAAAATTATTTGAGTCAACTTTACTACCAGTTCAGATCCCTTTGGTCTTTCATTTGAAATGCACTTTCAATTCCCTTTGAATTCCTAACAATTGTCAAATTATTGAATACCCCTGTGATTGTCTAAACTAGCGGAGCCACTTCCTTGCTGCTGTAAAGGTCCTTTGAATCATGGGAAATTCTTGGGGATTTCTTCCAGAAGATTTAAAGCCTCGGCGGGTTTGTCGTTAGGCATAGAGAACTTGAAGGGGACAATTCCAACCTGATGCGTAAGGATGGGGTACACTCATAGGGTTGGATATCTTCAATGTGGGACTTCAGTCTGGTATTGAGGAGGCGCTGGCTGCGGGGGGGCGCAGTTCCTCCCAAGGGAGTAGGTAGGGAGGGACCGCGGTGGCGGTAGTCCTGGCCAGCGAAGAGGATTGGAAGGAAGTGCCCAAGCTTCTTCGGGAGTCACAGCCTGCTGAGAGCTGATGGCGGGGGCAGGCTGCTCCGGACTCGTGGGTCATTTTGATAGAGCTGTCTGTTGGTAATCCCCCAACAGCTGACAGGTTGTGGACGCTGGCGATGATCTGTTGATAATCAATGAATAAAGCTGTGGCTGTTGCCCTTACCCATACAGAAGGTGTTGTGTATTTATTGGGTAACGGGGGGTGGGGGGGTTTGGGTCAGGGTCAGCAGTCAAGTACCTCCCTGGAAATATAAGGAAGGGAGGACATGACTGCTGGCAGTGATAAGGGGCTGGTCTATAAGGGGATACATTGTGGCACTTGGGGTACGTTAAGAGGGGGGAAAAGGGGAGGGTACTCAACAGTTCCCGGGCAGAGGTGTAGTGTTGCTAGCTTCCCGCCTGCCCACCCAAACATGTTTACGATGGTGTTGCTGTTGGTTGTGTGCTGTTGTTTTCTCTGTTTTGTCACAGCTCGCGGTAGTCCTGGCTAGTGAAGAGGATTGGAAGGAAGTGCCCAAGCGGCTTGGGAGTCGCAGCCTGCTGAGAGCTGATGGCGGGGGCAGGCTGCTCCGGACTCGTGGGTCATTTTGATAGAGCTGTCTGTTGGTAATCCCCCAATAGCTGACAGGTTGTGGACGCTGGCGATAATCTGTTGATAATCAATTAATAAAGCTGTGGCCGTTGCCCTTACCCATACAGAAGGTGTTGTGTATTTATTGGGCAAAGGGGGGTGGGGGGTTTTGGGTCAGGGTCAGCAGTCATGTGTTTAGTGAATAAATCCCTACATTATTTTTTATAGCTGTCTGATAAAGTCTGGGGCAGTCAATTCTGAAGGATTTATCTGAAAGACACTTGCACATCCATTTAATTTTTTGTTTAATATTTTTGTTATATAAAAGGACAGAAAGGAGGGGTTAGTGGTTAACGTCAGTGAGTCTTCAGTATTAAAAAGAATCTGACATGCTTCTAGCTCTCCCCCCCAACACATGCATGCACTTAAAATTCAGGGGAATTCCAAAAATAATTCCTGGACTGTGCTCTGTTTTATTTTACATTTAAACAAGGGAAGCACACAGAGAAAAGCACTCAGGTCTGCCGGATGGAGCAAGTAGGAAATATGCTGATTACATACCTTTTTTAAAGAATTGTTTAAAGCACAAATGTCACTGGAAAACATTTGCACATTAATCACAGAGCATAAAAAAACAAAGTATCCATTTAAAAAAAAAATTGCTCATCAGTTTTTAAAAAAAGTTTTACTAAGCTGTTTAACATGTTTATTACCTGTCTCTAGTGCTTAGAACACTCACAGCATGCTATTGGCCCTCTGTTTCTGCTTTAGTGATCATTTTGTGTTTATTCATGATTATATATAAATAAATTTAAAAAATATAAAAAGGGAGAAATATATACCAGCTAGCAACACCATGGTGAGTTCAGTGTGTGTGATGTCCCGAACGATTCGCCACGGACAGCGAACATATGCGCTGTTCGGTCCGCCCCCTATTCGTCATCATTGAGTAAACTTTGACCCTGTACCTCACAGTCAGCAGACACATTCCAGCCAATCAGCAGCAGACCCTCCCTCCCACCTCCTAGGGACGTGTGTGTGTATAATATATATATATATATATATATATATATATATGCTTCCCAAGTGTCCTTTAGGAGGGACAGTCCCTATTTACGGCCCAAATCCTAATGCCCCTCTCTTTTATGAGCTCTATGTTGGTGTGTCTGAATAATTAAATATTATATAGCTGCACAGCAATAATAAATAAAACTACAATAAATGTGTTTAGGCATCGGTCTGTGTAAATAAGATACTTTTGTTCTAAATTATATTTTAGTTGCATAACTTATTAGTAAGTCACCTAACATTTCTCAGTACAGCCCCACCCCTGACAACATCCCCACTCACACCCCTAAAATTAAAGTATCTTCCTTTGTCCATTTTAAAAGGTTGGGAGTTATTTTATATGATTTTTAAATGCTTAAATGATGAGTGTATTTCAAAACAAAATCATAGAAGAGATTTGTTCAATAAAACAAATATAATGTCTAAAATATAGATAAAAAAATAAGAGAAGAAATTGTAGTTGCAGTTGGTTCCTTGTCCTATAAAAGGTGATATGTATGAAGACAATATAAAGTGTGTTTTTGAGCAACTTTTTTTTTTCCCCTCAGTAAACTAGGCCAAATAAAATGAATGCGAACACCGAGAACAGACAAAAACATGACATCTTACACTTCATTTACTCTCCAATTTGGTCCTATACATGTTTTAGCTCACGTGTGGAAACTTGTCCAGTTTGTATAGAAGATTGAGACCACCACTAGGGCAGCTAACTCTGAAATGCCAGCAGGTCCCCTCTCCCAATAAATATAGCAATCCTAGAAGATTGTTTCACTTTCCATTAGGTCTCATCAGTGAGGTGTAGCTGATACCCCTCTAGGCACAGTTGTCAAGGTGAGTATATGCACTAACAGAGGAAATAAAAATATACCTATTACTGGACCTTAGAGAATCCATGCTTAACTTGTAAAAGAGAGAAATCATGGTCAATAGACAAACCAAGGTCAGTTACAGATAATGGTAAACCCGATTAGTGAACTGTGAGCAAGGGCTCCACATCTGGATTACCCTTTTGACTTAGGGAGACACTAGACATAAGCCTTTAAGTTAAAACCGTATTAATGAAGACACCATAAATGGACAAAAAAATGTATTAGTTTGCGTGACCTTTTTGGCATTTGTTGGTCTACTTGTGTCTATGTATGTTTCCCAAGATAAATCACGTCCTTGACATGGTTTCTACATAACCAACAAACACTGTTCTGCGCCAATCAGCATCTCCTCATAGAGATTCATTGAATCAATGACAACAGCACTGGACTAGGAAGCACCTCTGGTGGCCATCTGAGTGTATGCCACTAGAGGTGTTACTAGGCAACCAACAATGTAAACATTGCCCTTTCTCTGTAAAGACAGTATTTACAATGCTAACAGTGCAGGGACATACTTTAGACACCAGAACCACTACATTAAGCTGTAGTGGTTCTACTGACTATATTGTACTTTTAAGGGTAAACCTATTTAGATTTTAATAGTGTCTAAATACAGAATCACATGCAGCAAAGTCATAGGATTCTGAGGAATGTCATCAGGTTTGGTTCCAAAAATATAGATGGCCAATAAATATCTGGCAAATACAGCCTGAGTCCGGTGGGTGCCAATTATCTCCTCTATGAGAACCACAAGTTTTCTGCATTGAGCTAAGACTGACTAAGTAGGGCAGGGGTGCCCAAAAGGTAGATCGCCAGATGTTATAGAACTACAGCTCCCATAATGCTTTCACCCTTTAGAATGTTTTTAGAATTACAAAGCATCATTGAAGCTGTAGTTTTAAAACATCTGGGAATCTATCTTATGGGCACCCTTGGTGTAGAGCTTAGGTCAGTGACTAAGAGTAATCAGTGTCCTTGGGCAATGAGCTGGCCAGCACAACACGGTTTAGAGCTAACAGAAGTTCCTCGTAGCATGAATGCAACATTGCCCTACACCAGATGTTGTGGACTAGGTCTCAAATAATGCTGGCATAGCATCAGGAGAGATGTAGTCCACATTATCTGTAGTGCCAAAGGTTGCCTACCCTTACAGACTATTTTAAATGTTTATGTGGATTCTCTAAGCAAAAATTGATTAGGTACACTTTAAAATACATGACCACAAATTTCAAATTGTATGGAATATTTTTATTAGTGTTTTTGTTTGTGTAGCACCGTTATAAAAAGATAAATGTTATAAATAGATGGGTTTTTTTTTTTAAAGAAATATATGTGTCTAGGCAAGGGCAATTTCAAGACGTGCCCATGAAAAAAATGGATCAAAAATCTTGGCAAAACACCTATAACGTTAAACATTTGATAACCATTTATATATTAAAAATAAGAATATCAGTTTTACAGTTTCCAGTTGTTGGCACACGTGCAGCAAATATGATTTCAGGCTTGTAATTTGGATATCATCAATAAAAACCGGAATACCATTTGCACCTGCAGAGATTAAGTCATTTGAGAAACATGGGGAAAAAAAATCACAAACCTGACATATTTATCCATTTATATATAATATATGTCTTTATAACAAGAACACTTGCATTTTAGTGGAGACCAGGACAGTGGGAGATGATGCAATAAACTCCATTAAATGTTACTCTTCAATAAAAAACCAGTGTGTTACTAATTGGTGCTCCGATACACTGAAAAATTATATAAATATATTGAAAAAAAACATTCTGGCAGGTAGCACTATTCCAGAGCCATTTTCCACTCTGAAGCCTTTCTTTGAGCTCAGGGTGAAGAATTTGGACAGGAGGGAAGTGGGCTGGACACAGTCTGCAGGAAATCCAACTTACATTTTAACAGCAGTGCTAAACATCTCCCAGTAAAGTAACGCAATAAATCATGGTTATTGGGAGATATATTGCAGTCATTTTTAGAAAAGGCCCACATAATGTTTATTCTTCTTAGTCATGGCTTCCTGATATAGGGTCAAAGGGGTCATGGTCTCTACAGTTTGCAATTGATAACAATGATTACATTTTTTTTTTTTAGAGTGGAACGTTGATATAGAACATTGGAAGGTGGGTAGCAGAAGATTCTATGAAAAATCTGTTATAATAAAGTGTAGGGTGTCACAGAGTTACATCCTACAGGCTTCTCGCTGGGCTGCCTTTTTTCCAGAGGAAAAATTTGGAATGTGTTAGTAGGTGTCACAGGATGGGTGCAGTGCAAAGTAATCATTCATTCAGGAACAGGAGGTGCCTTATTGGAGCCATGGCATAGAACAAGTTAGAAAGTATTTAAAACACATATAAAAGCATGGTGATACAGCATATCTTCCAATATTTTAAGAGGTCATGTGGGGGACAAAAGGGCACTTTGATTTGGGGTCGTCTTATTGACCATTTATGGAGTGAATGTCCCCCGAGCGGCTCTCCTTTAAACCAAACGTTAATTTAAAAGAGTGTTATTTGTTGAGGGGCTGTAGGCAACAACTGAGCCCCAGGAATACTTAGAGATCAGTGAATTTACTATTTGTCAGGCATCTTAAAACTTTCCCTTTTATCACTTGGGAGTACCTTTTGATTTTAATAGAGAATAAGGTCAGCAATGTAAAGTAGATGGAGAAGAAATTGAACTGATTTGTCTTCAAAGTTTCTTTGAACCTATAACTTTAAAGTTATAGGTGATATACATGAATCAGTGTTTTATTAAAAATGGTCAATGGATAATCCGGGTGTAAACAGGGGAGGGCTGGCAGCCTTAGGCCTGGGGGGCAAAACCAGTCAACAGGCCCATTGCACCACCAAATCAGTGCAATGGTGCCCACCTTTTCCTGGATTTATAACAGATATTGATGTTATGCTAATCAGTAGCTCTTTGCCATACCTGCTCCTTCACGGCTCTGACTTTCAATGTTGTCAGAGCACAGGCTGAGAATCTCTGAGCCTGTGCTCTGACTCACTAACTGAGCGTCGGAACCACGAGGGAGATGCTATAATCTGACTGCACCTACTGCTGGTGCGCACCAGTGGACCACCAGCGAATCGTTTAAATTGAATAGGCTGGTGTCCCCAACTTGTGAGCTGTGTTGTCCGCCGGGCGCCTCTGTTGTGATGGCACCCTGCGTGACCGCACAGCGTGCACACCCCAATGGCTGGCCCTGCTGACACACACTGATGTTACTACTTAGAAATCCCTCAATATTAATACAGACAGCAGAGTAAACACCAATAAACTGTGGAAACAGATCTGATCCCACCCAAATTTATAAAGATTTGCTTACTGGATTTGTTGTAAGATTAAATCATGCCTCCTCCCCTCTCTCTCCCATGCGCTGCTCTGTAAGCTGGGAGGAAGTGAAGAGTAATCACAATCTCTCAGCACAGTAGCACCTGTGGCTGCATGGGGAACAGCTGTATTTGCCGCCCCCCATGTGACATCACAATGCCCCACCTATATGAGCTGCCATACGAACTAACGCCAGTGCTGTCCACAGTGTGTGTTTACATTAAAAAGCCTGCAGGGACCGGCTATAGATACCAGAACCACTTCATTAAGCTCCAGTCGTTCTGGGGACTATAGTGTCCCTTTAATGTAATGAAAATTATAGATTAGTGTCACTAATAATATACTAGATTGCCTACTTACAACCAAATGAGGATGATGATGGGCTGCAGTTTGGCTCCACTGGTCTGGTGTAGAACAGGATCTCTGGAGGCTGTTTGCAACTGTGGTCACAAAATTCAATGTTCTGGGAGAATTGGAAGCAGCTCCATTTTTGGGAGGGCCCCTTATACAGCTCAAGGTCTGGGCCCCAGGGCCTGACGGTGAGTATGCCCACAAGGCCCACTCATAAGTCCACTTATATGTTCCACCCACCCATGAGTTCGCTCACAGGGAGTGGAGTGTGTAGGGGATGTGTTATGTGTTATTGTAGAGCAGGGGTTCTCAACGTTAGTCCTCAGGACCCCCTACCAGTCCAGGGTTTAGGGATTACCTGGGTGTGTCTAAGGTGTTTTTTCCCTTTTTCTAAACACCTGAGACACACCCAGGTAATCCCCAAATCCTGGACTGGTAGCGGGTCCTGAGGACTGGGTTGAGAACCCCTGTTGTAGAGGATCTAATATGTGTGCTTATGGTATGTAGTGTATAGGGATACCAGTTTGTGCAGGTGATGCAGTGTGTTTGTGTGTAGTGGAAGCAGTGTGTATTTGTGTATAAGGGATGTATTGTGTGTTTCTGGTTGTGTGTAAGGGATGCATTGTGTGAATCTGTGTTTGTATGCAAGGTGTGTGTGCATTGAGTGTGTGTTAGTGATGCATTGTGTTTCTGTGTGTATGTAAGAAAAGCAGTGTGTGTGTAAGTGTTTGCATTATGTGTTTCTGTGTATGTGTGCAAAGGATGCATTGTCTTTGTGTGTAAGTGTTGCATTGTTTGTGTGTAATGGATGCATTGTGTGTTTCTCTGTGCGTAAGGGAAACATGTTGTGTTTCTGTGTGTGTAGGGATGCATTGTGTGTGTGTGTGCGCGTAGTGTCCTCTCCTCCCTGTGTTCTCCTCACCACCCACCCTTCCTGTGTTCTCCTCACCACCCACCCTCCCTGTGTTCTCCTCACTACCCACCCTCCCTGTGTTCTTCTCAGTCCCCCCCCTTCTCCTCATCTCCCCTTCTCCTCACTCTTACTCTCCCCCTCCTCCTTGTGTTCTTCTTACTCCACCCTTGTTCTTCTTACCCCCCGTTTTTCAAACCCCCCTTCTTCTTCTTACTCCCCCTCCTCCACCTTCTGTTACTCCCCCCTCCTTCACTTACTCCCTCCCTTCACTTACTCCCCCCTCTTTCACTTTCTCCCCCCTCCTTCATTTACACCCCCCATCTTCACTTACTCCCCCCATCACTTACACCCCCCATCTTCACTTACTCCCCCCATCTTCACTTACTCCCCCCATCCTTCATTTACACCCCCATCCTTCATTTACACCGCACTCCTTCATTAACACCCCCCATCTTCACTTACACCCCCATCCTTCATTTACAACCCCATCCTTCATTTACACCGCCCTCCTTCATTAACACCCCCCATCTTCACTTACTCCCCCATCTTCACTTACTCCCCCCATCTTCACTTACACCCCCCTCCTACATTAACA